CATATGGCATCAGTCACAACAAAGAGTTAAAACCACACTTCCATCACCTTCGCAAGAAAATACAAGACACGAGATCAAAGAAAATATAAACAGACTGGTTCCGAGCAAATTACGTATATATTCTTGTTTGAAGCTACAGTGTTTATCTGTGATCACGTTTATTTAATACGAGCACGGCGGCTGTGGCACATCTTCTAAAACGAAGTTATCCTTCAGAACATCCTTACATGATTCCATCTCCTGACAGCACCAAGCTTCGTGTGTATATTGTATATGTATTATCGCACAATCGCCGCATTTACACTTGTGAAATATGATACAGGTGAGGGTTTGATGTGACTGATGCCGTATCAAAAATATATCAGCCAAAGATACTTATTTTACGCCATTAAAATGTTAAATAAATCTATGTTTACGCTCACCATGATTTAATATCTTCAAGGCCGTCTAATCTTCGTTCTAGCATCTCGTTTTGTTCCTTGTGTTCCGCATAGTTTTAAATATCGCGCGTAGCTTTTATCGCGCGTAGCATTCTTGGCTCGCTAGCGGCTCATCGGCATAAAGACAATATGCATCATAATCGCCTAAAATTTCGCTATCAACTGCTTCTAGAGTTCCAATTTCGTGACTAGTATCATTTGATTCATTCTGTATAATATACCTAGGAATATAATTGTATTCTGAGTCACATTGAGAACCATGAGTGCTGGAAAACATATGTCTTCCCAATAGCTTTTTAGTACTCCTTCACATGTGAATTCGAACTTCCGTCCCTTAAGCTACGTCACACGGCTCTCGCCCCAGACCCTTTTCCGTTTTTTTCTCGGGCGCGACAATTTTTCGCTAAAAGCCAATTTTTCAAGGTTTAGAGCCTCATATCTCGCGAATGAAAAGAGAAAACAGAAAAATGTTAAAGAACCTATTAACTAACTTTTTGTCCTCTACCAAATATCAAAAAACAATTTTTGTGACATAAGCACTTTAACAAATAGAGTGTCGTTTTCATCGTTATACTTATCAATTCAATTTCATGTCAAATAAGATAAAGTGTAAATAAAATTGAATATGAAAATACATCTCTTTAATACCCTTTGAAAATCCATATTCAAGTCTCGTCTTTTTCCACATTTCTTAAGGTTTTAAAATTTGATATTTGTGGTGTTACTCTGAGTGCATATCCACACCGGGCGAGCTTGAAAAACATGCCCGGCCACGGTGGGATTCGAACCTACGACCTTTGGAATACTAGCCCAATGCTCTTCCAACTGAGCTACGCGGTCAGGACGGTTCGAGTTAGTGATATTTCGGAACAGAATCTAGTTCCTTCAATAACAATGTATTCTAGTAATATGAATTTTTTTTTTCTCTGTTGTTGTAGTGTACTCAGGTGAATATAATATTTGTGGTGTTACTCTGAGTGCATATCCACACCGGGCGAGCTTGAAAAATATGCCCGGCCACGGTGGGATTCGAACCTACGATTCTGTTCCGAAATATCACTAACTCGAACCGTCCTGATCGCGTAGCTCAGTTGGAAGAGCATTGGGCTAGTATTCCAAAGGTCGTAGGTTCGAATCCCACCGTGGCCGGGCATATTTTTCAATCTCGCCCGGTGTGGATATGCACTAAGAGTAACACCACAAATATCATATTCACCTGAGTACACTACAAAAACAGAGAAAAAAATCGTTTTAAAATTTGTTTGTCGTCTTTCACGAGCGAAATAACACGTACGACTTGCATATCTTTGTCCAAATGGTCAAAGGTAGAAAATTTATATCGAAAAAAATTTAAAAACCGATTCAATATTGAGCCTGGTCAGTGGTAACTACCATGAGAATTTCGGAAGTGTTGTCAATGAAATGGCGTCATTTTACCTCAAAATCCGCCATGTTTTTGGCGACACGTCGTTGACTGAACGAAGTACGTATAGGAGCAGGTCATCCAGTTATTATGCAGCTCAGTGCTTAGAACACATTTTAGTCAGCCGGAAACACTAAGGCACCCTCCCTATCCGGTATTATTTCCCTCAATGCTGTAGCTTAGCAACATGCGAACAAGACAAATGTGAAGTAATTTTCAATTTTACCAGGAACAGGAATGGCAGGAATTGAAACTGCGATTGTGGTGCAGCACTCTAACCAACTGAGCTACAGAGTTCAAGTCCATGGGTTTTAAAATCAATTGAATTTGACAACAATAGTATTCTATCCAAATAGCAGTTAAAATAAAGTGTATGGCACCTGAATTGTTCAATATCTTACTTGACAGTGCTTCTAAATAATGCATAAATATATTTACATATGCAAATACTGTATATTTTCCAAATCCGTCATATTTATTTACATCAGAACCCAAGCTTTTGCGGTTCACACGAAATATTAGGTCGGTGATTTTCACTAATAATAACAGGGTAGGGTCAAAGTGGGCGTTGTCACTCGCTAACCCAATCAGCTGTCTGGGTTCTGTGCCACGTGACCTGTTCAAATCGTTCCGAGCGTGAGTAATCGTATGACATTATGGCAGCCTCGATAAAATATTCTGGGGACACGTTTGTGCAATATAAGCAGGCTTTTAGCTATAGTCTTGAAAGATGGCGTCCAATTTTGCTACAGCGATATATCTACAGTAAAGAGCGGGGAGGGAGGGGGCGGGTCGAAAAAACGTTCCTGTGGAAAACCTTTGAATTTTAAGTTACTTCATGTCAGTATCTGTTCCAAGCTCGTTCGAAATTTTTCAAAACACTTGGCTTTGTGAGTTTATGCCGCTATGCTTCTTTACTTAATTACGACATTTTCATTCAGCCAGGTACACCATCAAATTATTCAAAATGTCAAATGTATAATAATAATAATGAGAATTGAAGCTATTTTGTTTCAGATATATTAATATAATTTTTTTTTTGTCTGTACTTAGGAAGTAATTATATACTTAGGAAATAATTGAAGGAAATAATTATATACTTAGGAAATAATTGAAAATAATCTCCCTTTTCCCGTAGAATTTGGGCGTCCAAATTAAGGCGTTCATTTTTTCGTTCTAAGGGCGTCCCAGGACGCCTGAACACCCTGCTAGCTAAGAGCCTGCATATAAGGAAGTTGGGGAGACGTTTGTGCCATATATGGAAGTTTGGTTTCCTCTCGCTTTGAAAACAATGAAATAATTGGATGATCTTACCCTCCTATTATTAGTGCAAACTGCAAATCACGGGCGTGAGCTGCAAAAGCTTGCTGAGCTTGGGTTCTAATGTAAATGAATATGGTGGATTTTGAAAATATACAGTATTTGCACAACATGTAAATGTATTTATGGATTTAGAAGCAGTGTCAAGCAAGATATTAAACAGTTCAGGTGCCGTACACTTTATTTTAACTGCTATTCAGATGGAATAATATTGTTGTCAAATTGCATTGGTCCTAAAGCCCGTAGTCTAACCACAAATTTATGTGTATTAATACAAAATCTTGATACTTAATCATTACACATAAACACGTTGATTTTTTTATTTTGGTCGTTCCTGAATATATTTTAAAGTATAACAACCGGCGAAGAAGTAAGCCACTAAGGTTTCGAGTAAAGTTGGCCCATTAAATGTTTTAAATGTTTATACAGTATATAAACAAACGTTTTGCCACAGCTGACCTCGGAACTTTCATGATGTATTAAACAATCTCCCGGGATTAGTATAAGTTTCTATAATGGCCGGGATCTCACCGGTCACCGTGGCCGAGTAACTCGTATTCACCTGGTAACTCATCTCCATATAAACCGAGCGTAAGAGTCGATCAGATTGAAGGAAACACCATTGATTTATAAATGAATAAAAGTCAAAATTGCATGTCTGTGCATATTGGCATGCAGGCAAATTTACATCAAATTTGAAAACAATGTTTACCTTTCTACAGCATAATTACCGCAACTGTTAAAAGGTGAAGTACATGTTATAAAATTAGGAATACGATCGCTGTAAATTAATTGTGGAATATTTGAACGCAGATTTATATCTTCCTACCTAACCAGGAGCAGTTGCAAAGAGTGCAATATACATATCTGATTGAATATTTTAACATTTATAATCCATCTGAGATTTTACAAGTTTCAGATGCGAAAAGAGATGCAAAAATGCAAAAACGAGTTTAGGCGACAGCAATATATTCAGTGGCGTAGCAAACTCGATAATTGGGCAATATTCATATATTCGTGTTCTGCCTTATTAATTTCTTTTGAAATCAATTGTTTTCAAGGTCTGTGAACACGAATATGTGAATATTGCCCCCCTCCCAATTATCGAGTTTGTTACGCCACTGAATATAATGCTTTTTACTATGTCAGGGAGCGGTCGTTAATTTTTTTTTGGTGGGGGCGGCCGTAAATTTTTATAAAGCATGGCCCAAAAATATATAACCCATCTAAATTCTCAGCCCAAAAAGCTTGGCCCTCCCCGATACTTTGGCCGAAATAATTGTGGCCCTCCTCTGACGTTTTTTTCAACTATGTTACATTAAAATTTGATTTGTGAATTATGTAATAATTGTATCGTCAATTTTAGGACAACACCTATTTCTTAAAACAATCTCATGCAAAGTCAGAAATTTTTGCTCTTCCCATCCAAATTCTACAAACTCTCCCTGATCTCGGAAAAAATCTTAAATATTCTCTTCTTCAAGACAAGGAACTTCATTGTCTTCCTCATCTTCATCCTCTTCAATGTCATCATCACTCCCAATTTGCTGTTCCACAATATCTTCTTCATCATCATTGCTGTCATCGCATTCATTGATGTCGTGTCACTAGCATCATCACGGCTGTCTGAGTACCGCGACCTAACAATGTCTGCTGTTACGATATCCACTTTCTCCCTTTCAATGCGCCTTTTGAGTGCTTCAACTTTTCGCTTAGCAATATACAAGTCCAGAACAGCACCTTTCAACTTCACCATGAGCACCGCAAAAGCGAACCTAGATAAAAAGTTAGGCTGGATTCCCAATCCACGTACAGAAATGAACAAATTCTATAACAATGTTTATGAATCATCCTATTTGGAGCGTGGAGGAGCATACTGTCACAAGAAAAAGGACGTCACCCCATGCCGAATGCAGACATCAGTATGACAATGAGAAGATGATTTCAAAAATCAAGAAGCAGGCAGAGCATATTAAGTATGAAAGGGATGATTCGCAGACTGGGTATTTTCTCAGGTAAAACCGTCTGCTAAAACCGCATGTGATGGTGGAACAATAAAACAGGAGATTATACGTATAGATGACCTTCAAGAATTTATTGACAAGATTGAAAAGATCCTAAAAGAACACCTTGAAAAAACCATTCATTCAATATCTGGGCGAATTTTGACAGGACATAATACAGCTCATGGTTTTGATGTAGCTCAGTTATCTCAGTTGCAGAGTGTGAAAACTGAATTAACTACTCTACGTACCGGACTTGTAGAACGTCAGGAAACATGTAAATCTGTATTCAGACACAGCTTTTCTGCAATAAAGAGGAAGTCACGCTCAAGAAAGCAGAACATTAATAAGTGCAAGAAACGGAAGAAGGCGAAACATTCAGAAAGAAAGAGAGAGATACTCAGAAAAATTGTACCAGATTTACCAGAAGGAAAAAACATGCATAAAGAAAGATATTCGGCCAGCAATCGTCAGGGGACTCCGAAAAAGACAAAAAAGTGCGCGAACGCTTTAGCTTCTTCAGAATCTTTTAGAATATGGTCACGCTAAGAAGAACTGCGTCGAATCTTAGGTTGGATGGAAACTGAACATGACTTAAGAAATGACCATCCTGTTCATATTGATGGTACTGATTATATTGATGGCACTGGTAAAATGATGGCGCTGTTAATGACTGGGGCAGCAGTTCAGATGATATTGGCCCTTATTGGAAATTATCTACATGCACACCATATTTGGGCCAATATGTGAATGACTAATGGGAGCATTACTCAACTGTATTTTAATGGTTTCTATAGGATCGATTCGAGGATCACTATAAACCATCACTGTTTTAGTAACAACATTTGTTATAAGGGACTGGTGATAAAGTAACTGCTAGGCTGGGCTGGAGGTAAATCACAAATTTTTCCAATAAGTTCGGTGACCCATCTTAAGATGTAGATAAAAATTTCAAAGCCCATCTAATCTTACAAAAAAAATTTCATGACCCACCAAATCTAAATTGGGAAAATACACTTTTATAATAAAAAAACTTGCAGGTATGAACTTTGTAATGTACCAAGCTTGACCAACACATTCATCACCAATTACGATACTGAGCTGCACTCCAGTTGGTTGTATTTGCTGTGATTCGACCACTTCTTATTGTTGTATGTACTGGCTTCAATAGCATCATTTGCATTTGATAATTTGGATAGTTTTGTTTACTTTTATTATTAATATCTTTATTTTTTGAAGTAGACATGCATTGGTTTTTTTGGTGGCCCAACTGTGGACATACAAAAAAATTGGCGGCCCATCGAAACTGCCCAAAAATGTTCGATTGCCCATCCCAAATCACTCCAGCCCACCCTAGCAGTTACTTTATGACAGGTCCCTAAGTGTAATATAATATAATCTAGGTTTAAAAAATGTGACCCTCCCTAAGCATCGGCCCAAAAAATGTTCGTCCACCCCAAATTGAAGCTCACAAAATCTCAGCCCTCCCCTCAAATT